CCCATACAACCAGTGAAACGGCAACTTTTTTCGCACGCACCTATGCCCTGCGCCCCTAAGCGACCCCTCTCCCCTCCCAGAACACAAATGCGACCCCCCGTTCGAACAGTTCGAACGGACGGTTGACCCTGCTCCCACACCCTCCCCCTCGACCACCACCCTTACATATGGCTGCTGCTATGATTACCGATTATGAGACCAATCAACACAATGACTATCAAGAGAAGGGGGTAAATATGTGTTAGTAGACAGAGAACGCTCTAATTTTTGCTATTTCAAGCTTTTTGGCTGAAGTTTCCGCTCGTGCCCCATCAAAAACGCTCTCCTTCCTCCCTTTACTACAACACGACCAGTCAAATTCCACCTCCAACCCCCTTCAAAACTTTACATATGACCGCCCCTTGTCGCCATCACCCACAGAAAACCCCAATACGACCTCCCGTTGAAAACTGCACAACGAATGGTTGATCCACCCTCTGCCCCCCGCCGGTCGACGGACTTGACGCCCATTCAACCGTCCTCTGCGCTTTCTGGGCGTCCCTCTTCTCCAAGGCTTAGTCCTAGGGCATTCACCCGTTCTCTAATCGTCTGTGCTCTAGCCATCGCGGCAGGACCATTGAGGAAAAATCAAGTAGTCCGTAAACCCCCCCCCCCACCTTCCAACTACACTAAATAAGGCGGCTACACGTAAGTGAAGAACATCCCATACTGCATCAGAACAGTTTTGGTCTCAGCCAGTAGAGGGAGAATGTGATGCGACATTTGCTGCAGCCTACATAAAATCTATTTTCGTAGGGAGAGGAATCCCCGGCACGTGTGAATGCATGAACAGTTCGGTTCCGCTTTTACATCCACCCCAAAGCTTCCCTCCTTTGCGAAAAATTGGGTTACCTTAGGCGATATGAACTGTGAACGGTGCGTGCCCATGCCCTCTTTGAATGAGCCCCAAAGGTTTTGATACGCGTCCACGACAGATATAAAGAATTTACATTAAGCAAGTACAATACAAGGTTAACTGTAAAACAATTAAAACATAACTTGAAGAGGGTGACAAAGAAATTTTATAAAGATGAATGTTCAAGCCTTTTGAAAAAGTGCAGTGCTAATGGAGACAATTATTTATGAACGAGACCAACATGAAGAATGCAAAAATCTAAACCGATACAAACAAAAAACAAGTTAACATACTGCAAGCACGTAAACAAACAGCAAAGCAGACAATCTTCGTTAAAAAAGCCAGAATAGCAATAAAATATTCACAAAACAAATTTAATGCGCCTCATGCCTTAGCAATGCATAAGCAAGTGTGTAGTGTGATTACTTGTCCCCCGCGAGACGATATTAGTTCGAGCACTCCTGGGTGCAATATCCCACCCAAAGACCTATCACCAGGATTCTTGACAGAATCGCCAGAAAAATGAGAAAATACGAGCACGTGAAGAAAAACGCAAACTAAACCAAACAACGAACTTAACCAGCTTGTTCACAGTTCTGCAACAAAGCGAAAAACAGCAGCCGTGTTACATTTGAATCGTTCACAAGACCAAGCAAAATCCGCCAGGTAGGCGCCCACATCAAACGCCCATTAAGCGCTCTTAGCGAGACCGTGAAAAGTGTCCCGTTTTTCCAAACGACCTCGGAAGAACCCGATAATGCATTTTTAAAATATTTTTTTAATAAGCAAAGCCAACACGAACTATCGTGAGACACCTCGTCCGTGAAATCACACTCGTCAAATAAAACAATTCATGAAGAAATGTTCCTAGAAGATGCCAGCTGGTTTGTTGATTGTAACCCCCGATGTAGAATCTAGTAAGTTGCTCACAAAATACCGATATATTTAATGTATCACCTTCGGTTTGTAACATCTGAGCATTAAAAAAATGTGAAAACTGAGGCGATTTCACAACAAAGATTATCATTATCTTCAAATCGAAGCATTAAACAGATAAACATTGGCCAGGCAGCACGCGTGTTCCCAATCCATATACGAGCCACAACAACATTTACATAAGCTCTAACGGTAACCTCGACCTAAGGAAGGAGATTTTCTACCATCGTGAAAAGTGAGCAGCTCCTCGTTAATCAACCGTCGACCTTCCTGTGAAAATATTTACTACCGTTACAAAGTCCAAATTCTCCTTCTACATAGGGGAAGAGACTATTTCCAAACATCTCATTTTTAACGGGACCTCTTGGAATAGCATTAAAACTAAAATCCGGCCTACGGTTTAGGACCTTCCCCGTGAAACTGTTCTGAACAGCTTCTAATCAGGAATAGTATCCTTATTGTGAAAGGAGCCCATACCTAACCTGGTACTTTGATGCGTTGGCCTATATATACTGGGGCCCACCATGTACAATACGAATGGAAAGAAGAGAATGTATAGCGGTAAAATCAAGAAAACTAGTGTTTAAGTTAATTTCACATCCTACCCCAACAATGGACAATAACCGAGCCCGGTGGGAATGTGGAAATGGTCCGGCATACCTGACGAGTTAGGACCGTCAAGGACTACTTGAACTCAGCCCTTTAAACCCCTCTCTGCGCTCTCTCGCGGGTCCCTCTTTCTCCAAGCTTAGTCCCAGGCTACTCGCCCGTTCTCTATTCGTCTGTGCTCTAGCCACTCGCGGCAGGACCATTGAGGAAAAATCAAGTAGTCCGTAAACCCAATATTGGGACCAAAGTGGCGTCAACAATGGATGTCATATTCAACCCCCTCAGAATAAACATCAAGCTAAAGTTTAACGAAATTACATTTCGAAATCAGAGTACCCTAATAGACAACAATTTGCGGTATAACTGAAGTAGGCTCCATGTCCGTCTTTCTTGAAACCTCGGCATTTTCAGATGTCTGTTATTTCTTCTGTGCCTGACAGGTTTTGTATGGTGGAAGATTTATTGCCTGACGTTTCGACGAAATCGTCGTTTTCAAAGGCCTGAAAGCGTTCCGAAACTTTTACGAACTTAACCTATCCGCTCAACACAAATATGCGCTAAGCTTACAACACTCAGACCAGCGAACCATAGTATGCTAACTCCAAAAACGGTTTCTCACCTTAATTCCACCAATGTTCCGCTCAACGGCCTCCCTCAGCGCTTTGCAGAGTGAACAGAAAGTGAAACTAACTGACCGCACACTGCTTATAAAGGAGGAACGTGCAGTGCGCTCCGTATTCACTATCATAGCTCACATAGAGGGATGTAGGGCAAGAAATCGGCAGTTATTGAGATGCACTCATTCCTGTTATTCATACTTGGATTTCGTTGTTTTATCCAAAAGGCCTCAAGGGTTTTCCTAGCACCGATATCGCTCTCGTAGCAGAAGTACAATTGCTGGGCTGGATTTAACCACGATTCGGAAATGAAAACCAGATCCGATGCGAAAGAGCCATACACCAAAGACTCCACACGGCGAGAAAAGAACCTCTATTAGACGCGTCGTCTATTATGATGTATGTCTGTACTCGATTTTCTTCATATTTTCTAAAATAGAGTATACATGAAACATGAAACCAAGGCATGCAATGTAGTTAAATGAGCAAGGGGTAGGAATATCTGGGTCAAGCACAGGAACGTTTAGTACGAAAATGAGATTTCTGCAAAGCAGCTATTGTCTGAAGCGGA